GATCTTACAAGCAATATATACCTTACACACACATTTACAGGGTACCTATAGCTGTCCCTCTCTCTCTTCCCCCCTTCCGCTCTCCTGTGTAGAAATACAGGTAATATAAGGTAAATCTTTGCAAAGTTGCTCAGGCCCTCTGGAACAGCAAACAATTTGGCGAAATGGAAACATATCCAGAACTGGAGTGGACAAACAAGTGTAAGCACCTCCCTTGTATCCAAAGAAAGGGAAGGTGAAACTGCACACTGCATATGAGTTTCTGCCATGTTACTGACCTGTTTCTAGTAAGATCTGAACTGGCATTTACTACCTAAAGATATTGATACTAGCCTTTGACAGCCAGGGTGTATTTCAATGGCCATAAAGAAAAGACGAAGCTGTAGTCCTAAAGATGAATCATTGCTGTCCATACCAATATGAGATTTCTGACAAATAATTGTGTTTTTATGAAGGATTCACATATTCCATATTTGATATGCTGCCATAACCAGCAGTAGCTTAACTTTTTTTATTTACCATAACATTTCAAGACTTCCCTCTTTGGTTATGTTAGGTGTTGCCTCATGAGCACTTTTTTCTTTTTATTCCCAGGACAGAATACCTTTTCCTGGTTCCTAGGAAAATGGTAGAGTCTGAGCCTTTGGTAGATTCTACAGGCCTTTTCTGGACGTAAAGAAAAATAAAAATATTTCTTGCTCTCACAGAAGTGCTAGACTGGAATAGTGCAGTTAAGGCTGAATACATCTAACTCAGAAATATAAAGAAAACAAGGTGGGACTTAAAGAAAGATATTAATGAAAAACGGGTTAATATATTTATAAGTCAGACTGTACAAGACACTTGCTCTCACGACAGAAAGAAAAAAAAGAGGTATTTGTAGATTAGTGATGTGATCACCTAAGATTTTTCCCATGAAGGTGAGACTTTTGCACAGCTGTTACTACAGCTGTGTATTATCTGGCTCTGTGTATTCAGAAAACAATGTGCATCAATGGGCACGCAGCATCTGAAAATCATGTATAGATAATGAAATGCTGAACAGGAAGACTGCAAAGTTCAAAATCATACTTTGTCTTTTGAAACAACAATGAAAAAATACTAGGGAAAATATGTCAGCTCTTCTAGTCTTTCTTGCTGATCAAGCATAAAATGCAGGCTATACTGACAGTAAACCTTTCAAGGGTTTGCAAAGTATGAATGCCAACCATAGACTGCCAGAGACATTAAATAAATTATCAAAGGACAATGATAACGACAACTTTAAAAAATCAAAACACATCCCAGTAAGTTTGATTGTGGATTTCCTTTGGTTGTTTTTGTTTTGTTTTGTTTTCTTGTTTTTGTTTGTTTTGGTTTGTTTTGGTTTGTTTGTTTTATGGTTTTTTTTTCCTTAAACTTGCTTAATCAGAAAGAATTAATACTATGAAAATTTTCACTTAAAGGGATACATATTTATGGTAGACATAGCATTAGAAATTTCAACTTCCACAAAATATTTTCAAGAACTTTATAAATAACCCAGATATCAATTTCTATTGAAATGGTCTAGTTAGCCGTAAGTATGGTGTGACCATGAGAAATAGTACTGTTCAGAAAACCTTTTGGCAGACCTATACTTCTATTGTAATTTTCAGGTGCATTTTTCTTTTTATTGCTACTGTATTTCACAGTTTATCATGCATAATTTTCTCTACAGCTAGTATTTTCCAGTTCTGCTTTACTTCAAGTGAGGGAAGAGTGAAAGCCATAGAAAACTTCATAAAAGTTGTTTTTAACTTTGCACCATATTTCTTTTCTCATCATCCAGTAAGAAAATACAAAGTCTCACACTTCAATATTTATCTTTTGCATATAAATGCCTGGCAAACTAATATGCAAGTTGAAATACCAAGGGAAAAGTGATTAAAATAAGAATTGGCTGACTGCTTTCTTTAAAACATACACATTTAATCTATTGGTAACAAAAAATAGTACCACCTTAGGAAAATACCATCTACGAAAATCTTTTTGGGTAAATTATTGTAAAACAGTGTGACGCATATTTGCAGAGACTAAATAAGGAACAGCCTCTATTAACAGTCCATATGGAAACTGGGATATAAAATATTCTAGAAACATTGCCCACAGCATTAAAGTTTGTTAAACTGAACACTGAAGTGAAGGGAGAAGAGGCAAAAGAAAACCCCAAACCAACCAGGGGTTGAGAAAGGTGATTGAAATAAAAAAAGAAAAGTGAATAAAGTTATACGTTTTATAAATAATTATTGTAAATAAAGTTTGTTTCATGAGGAAGAAACCTGGTTATTAGTTCACCAAAGATGTCATACCACAGTCCCTTAAAAAGTCTCACCCTTTCTGTCACTTGATTTTGCCACTAATGAATAACTACAGAAAGTTTCTCTGACCATTTAAGTTCTACCCTGCTCTTCAACTTCTCCAGTAGAAAAACACCTAAGAACGTCAGCAAAAGGGAAAAATCTACTTTCTTGAAATAAATAATTGTATTTCAGTGGCAATAGACGGATTTCAGATTTTTGTCACCTACAGATCTGTTGATCTAGACCAAGATTTTGAAACCTATCATGTTCTACATTCTTACACCTTTGGGCAACATGTATTTTTCCATCAAGATTTTTCTCTTTTGACCTCTCAATATCAAGACACCTTCATATCACAGCATCTTGTTTTTTACTAAGAGAAGTAGAAATGTAAAACTAAAAAAAAAAAAAAAAGCTTGAAAGACAACTTCACATATCGTGTTGAACTATGATTGGAGGCAAAGAATTTTCTGTGCAAAGGCTTTGATAAGACAGTTGTTAACCAAAAAAGATTCTTCATTTTTGGGAAAATGTCTTACTTGGAAAATTGTTACTCTTGCTGGTAATTTGACAAAAATATTTTAATTCCTAAAATGTAATGAAGAGAGCTCGTCTTGCCAGACCTGACAAAGCACGGTGCCAAACATTTTTGAGAGATGAGCACAACCAAGACATCAAAGGTTTCCTAAGCCTAAATCCTTCCTCACCTGACCAAATTAAATAGAGCAGAAGAGTTAAACTTGATAAGACACGTAAAAATTAAAATTCAAAACAAAAATCTACCCGTGATTTTCAAGGGGTATCATTTTCAGTCTTAGTGACTTCCTGGACTGAAGTTACACAGTCCTGTCTGAACTCCTGGGAGAGCCTCTTTCAACCCATCAGTTCCAAGTCTGGGTTTGGATCTCCCTGCTGTTCTTGCTAGGGATCTCCCAGTTTCTTTTCCCACTGTAGGTCTTCCTCATTGCACTTTCGCTTCCCTGTCACATCCTGCACCTGCAGCCATTTTATTTTGTCGGTTATACACGTTCAGTTCCTTTCAGGCTAAAAAACACCCTTGTCCTAAAAGGGACAACCTGGCAGGCAACGTTTTTTCTGCTGCTTCAATACATCCTCTTAGTATACACATACATTGAACTGAGAGAGTGTTACATGATTGTATTACAGCCCATTCTCTTATAGAATCACATATCATTCTCTTAAGCTTTAGGTGTTTAAGAAAAATAGAAGGAAGAGGTTTTGTGCTTATTTAGTTAATGTCTTAAAAGAAAAGTATTTTGTAGTGAGAATTCTCTGGACAATTTTTTTGTTGGTGGGTTTTTTCAGGTTTGTTTTATCTTTTTAGAAAAATAGATTAGTATTTTCAAATAAAAGGACATTTTTCTTAAATCTTGTCCTATAAAATACAGAAAATTAAATTAACCTGTATTAAGTAGGCAGCAAAATCCCTGCATAGGAAACTAAAAATAGTATTTAAGTGTCAACTCAGTTTCAAAAAGATATACTTAATTACATAAAATTAAGCCAGACAGTGAGTAAAATGAAATAGGTCCCTAGAGAGCTACTGTACTGAGTTAACGTTCTCACTATGTTCTCGCAATAGTACCAGAATCCAGTTTTTTTATCTGTGAGACTGCTTGTTCCAAAATGTATCCACTTACAGCAAATATATATGGTATACACAACATGGATTGTGTTGGTGCCTAAGGAAAGTTTTCAGTAACTTCCTAAACCAGTAATCTTATGTCTGTGACAATTACATAGGATGAGTATGCTTGAAAAAGAGGCCTGTACTTGTCAATTTATGTAATAATGGACTGATATTAATCATTTAATGAATGTAAAGCTTCAGTTGTGTTAATATTTAGGCTCAGAAGTAACTCCACTATCTGTATACCAAGATCAGTCAAGTTGCTAACAGTTGTAGGTTTATACAACAGTGCTTAGAATTTTCATGTTTGTATTTGTTTAGTTTGTCCTTATATGGCATTTATTACTTTTTAAACAACTGATTAATTCTTGGCATAATTTTTTAAACAAAGGGTGACCACTATGGACTGTCTGCACTCAGATGAAAGCAAACTTCGTAACTCCTCTTAAACATGGACCAGACAGCATGGCTGATTTTTCAAAACTGCTGTCTTATTTCTTTATGCCATATATACCACATGTGCCTGTGTCCATGGCCTGTGATTTGCTGTACGGTTTAGAGTCCTTTTTTTTAATGCAGGGTCAATTATTCCTTCTGTCTACCTTTTCCCAACATCATTTGACAAATATTTACAATATGCCATGTCTTGATGCCTTGACTTTCTTTGACTAAATATGCTAATGGAAAATATTTAATCAACTTTCAGACCTGAAACAAGTTTCCCATTCTTTGGTCTCATAGTAGCATAGTAGTTGCATGCTCTGCCAAAAAACCTTGTTCAAGTAAGGGACCCAAAAAACTCTAGCACAAACTGGTATTAAAATCCCATTCAAAAATTATGGTGTATGGATATTTGGGCGTGGTGGGGGTGGGTGTCATGATCTGTTAAAAAAAAAAACAAAATCTGAGAAAACTCCAAAAGGCATTCAATAGGTTGTGTGCCAGTGAAGTGAAGCTGACTGGTTTCTGTGCAATTGCTCCTAATAGCATACTTTGAGAAAAGCCTTTGAAAAAACAAATAAATGTACCTTTCTTGAAGAATAAGTTTGTTTTCCTTCTTCCAGAAGTCTTTGAAGTCAGAACTGAATTCATGCCAAATACTGAAGAAAGAGTGTGGGGACACCTCTTTCTCTCCCATTTTTGGTTTCATACAGAAATAGGCTGTAGTTTCCAAAAAGCTGTCAAAGAAAGCAAAACCAGCAAATGTTACAGTCCTCACTGATGTAATTTTTTTTTTTCTTACTTAACATTGACATAGTATTTAATCATTCTTGGTAGCAGATCTAAAATGAAAGAATTCAAAATCATAACAGTTCTGAGCTCTTCATATACAGGCAGGTATATGAAGATGATTCTTCAGTGAAGTTGGGATCTGGCATTCATCATAAGTTCAGGTTTTGATCAAAGTATTTTCCATTTCAAAAGCTGTAGTGAATTCACTGTCCACAGCCTTGCAAATCCAGATATCCACACCTGCCCATATGCTGCTTTTCTGTTGTGTTTAAAGCTGTTACCAAAACACAGAGTGAAAGCCTATAAAGGACTGTAAATAAACTTCTTTGAGTTCTGCTACGCAATAGCTTAGGTTGGAGCCTACACAGAAATATTAAAACTCAAATCTGCTGTGTACTAAACAAGAAATGACACAACAGAAAACTGGGCCAGGAGCAGCTGTGCCAGAAAACAGGTACCCATCGTGACTCTACCAGAACAATCTGACAATCTCTTCTCAGCACAGCAAATGTAAAACTAATATAGTAAACACAAAATCTACCCAAGTATGAACACTGCTGAAACGCAAAGGTCATATTTCCAACACTGAGTGAGGACTGTGACTGCAACTAAACTTAACATATTTCTGTGTTTGAAATGCTTCTATTTTATTTCAGGAATGTTACAGGAAGGTAAAGAATAATTATGTAAAAAATATTTGTTTGATTAAGTATATTACATTTTATTTTTTCACTTAATATTTTGCAAATACTGGACATTTTAAGAACATTTTTCCCCATCTGAAGCTCAGTGTAGCAGCCCCTGGAAAATTTTTAATTTTATGAAATATTCAGTGGAAAACTGTATCTTGAAATATAATTATAAGTGCTTTGTTCACTGATCTATTACTACCCATTGACTCCAGTAGTAATTTTCTATGAAACATACATCACAGTTTTAATCACTGTAATCATGGGGAAAAAATGCATTTCCAGTTAAATAGATGGAAATGTCATTTTAGTCACAGAAGCTGTATCTTCATTCATGGACTATGACGGTGACAATAATATACAAAGATTCAGCCATTCAGAAGAATCAATCTCACAAAGTCTCCATGAAACTGTCCTAGTTCTCAAAATCCAATATTCCAGTTGTTTTCCGCAATGTGAAAAATAAATATCTACATACATTATCCTATTTCTCAATAAAAAAAGCCTAGAGCTTAAAAAATTAACATTAGTTTACCAATCAAATTCTATATGTTTTTCCTCTTTATTTGTATTTCATGTTTTCATCTGCTGAAGTAAATTGAAGCTGTTGAGCAACAAAGTTGTAGCACAGAAAAATACAGAAAACATTTTAATTTTTAAAACCATGGCATTTATACTCAAATGCCACCTTACCTGAGCATGCCATTTCTTCAGCTCTCTCAGTTAGCCTACCACAGCACTCTGTTCTGTAAGTCAGTGCTTGGTTAATACATAGAATACCTTTTTTTGTGGCTGAATTTATTGTTTTTTAAAAATTATTTATAGATGAATAATACTACTGATTTAAATATTCCATTTTGCTTACCTATTTACATTTCCTCCCCAGTTTTATACTAAGGAAAATATTTATCATCTATCCTGTGATCCCACATAATTCCTCAAAAAAGAATATCCCTGACACTCATCAATCAGCTGCACTAGGTTTTAAACTTTTTGCCTACTGTCACATATTTTCAACTTTTTGCAAGACTGCAAATATATCAGGGAGATCTTTTGGTTTTCCTCCCAGTCTCTTCCCCTGGATTTACAGTTCTGAAGCTGGCTAGTGGGGTAGTCATATCAGGGTCTCATTTGACTACTCAGAATGAACTGACAATATTTTTGAAGGAACATGAGGAATAAAGAACAAGAGACAAATCTGGAGGCATCAGCTCAGTCAATGGCTTATTATTTAGGTTCTATGAATAAAGGCCACTAATGGTTTACAGAACAGAGAAAGAAAAGACATTCAAATAAGAAGCCTTGTTTTGAGAAATGTGTCTTCAAAACATTTTGCAAATGAGAATAATGAGAAAGGAATTTGATGATGAATGACCGTCAAGCCAGAATTCCATCACAGGAAAACATCCCAAGAAACAGGAAGCCAATCAAAATAAAATTCATACTGCATAGAAGAATGCTCAATTAAAAAAAAAAAGATGAACAGCACTAACTCTTCAATTATTACAACTATCCTCTTTGAGGAGAAGGAGATAGCCAATGTTTTTCTCCTCTGGTGACTGAAAATCTCCCTGAAGAACACTTGTATAGCCGGTATAACCTTACACATGCATACAGCTGTGTCTAATAGCTGTAAGGTAATTACTAGGTTTATAGAAAGAAGAGAAATGCTCATACAGGTTGTTTGCCTCCCTGACAGTTACTCTGGGAGGTAAGGGAAATAAGCCATCTGTGAAATGTGAAGCAGCAGCAGCATAGCAGGTTGTCACTGTTAACACGTCACACCTTTCTAATGCCCAGTAACAATGCACAAGACATCAGCTGCAACACAGTAATACTTCAGGGCACAAATCTCCATGAATCAAATATTTTTTTTTTTGCTATACATAGAGATCAAACAGTCAAGACAGTTACTATATTTCTTCCAAACCAGAGAGGTCTACCCTTATTCAGCAGGTTTTTTAGAGTGTGTTTAGATGACATACGGAAACCTGCTTGCTATACATTTGATGCTGTCATTTTTGTACTACAAGACAAAGTGGCGAAATTCACACATGAAAGACAAAGCAAACAAAGTGAATCCAAATGCATCAAATAATAAAACATGGACAGCAGTAAATCCTCTCTGTTACCATGGTCTTTAAATATCTGAAATGGAAATGTTTACATATGTCAAACTAGACATATCTCAAAGCTGATTTTGGGAGGGGACATACATTTTAAATACCAAGAGAAATTTGGATGACACTGCCATAGCCCCAAGACTAGACACCATCCTTTCAAACTTCAGCCAGGCAGTAAATATCTTTTCTCTGATGCTTTTCTCTCAGGTAGCTCAATCAAATGTTCCTATTGATTCTTCAGCACATTTTGAAACAAAACATCTGCAAATACCATTGTTGATAGTCCTGACTAGGAATAGCATTTTTTTTTGTCAAATAAGGGACTAGAGTTCAAAAGTCTTTTGTTTCTATACCCAAATTAATTTCTGCAGCATACAACCTTGAGAAACTCATCTGACCTCTCTAACTTTCATTTAATCTATCTGCAAAATTAATCATTTATTATGAAACTAGTATTGCAAAGCTTGTTTAGTGTCCATTTCTTAAGTGAAAATGTTCCTAGTTTTCCATATGATTCCTGAGTGTCTTAAAGGAAAAGAACGTGCATTAGAAAAGACCTTGCAGTCATGGAAGAGGGAAGGAAGGGCATGCAAGTTATTTTCCAGGATTAAAAGAGGTAAAGGAGGTCACTGCCTTTGCTTCAAACAGCCTGACTTTTCAAGCATGATTAAAAATAAGCCAGTGATGATCACACCACTGTCTTATCCTGACATGGCAAAAGCCAGAGTTCTCTAAACAGCTTTCGGACTGGGTTTCATATCTCTCATATCGACCCTGAAGGAGAACTAAATAGCATCAAACTCTCTCAAAACAATGTAAGAGTTGCTCATCCCTGGCAAGTAAGTAAGGAAATAAGATTAAGATAGTCAGTTCCTTTTCTCCCTTTTTTGTCTTCTAATTTCCTTGGTTCAAGTGTTCGTGTAATTCAGAAAAATTATTGCAGACTGAGATGTCTGAACTCACTGCTTACTCTCACTCAAATGTGGAAATTTGATGAATGAATCACTGGACTTTTCTCTGTGCTCCCTTGTGTACAACTATGAGACTATGAAAGTGATTTTTCTGTTTGGAGGGAAGAAAGGAATGGATGTAATAACAGCCAAACCAAATTTAATCACATGAGAAAGAAAAGAATTATTCACATTGCAAATGGGTCATTGACAACATTTCTAGCTAATAGATCTGATCCATTAGGAATATTTTAAGAGCAGCTATAGATTATTCAGCATTTTTTTCCATTCCATTTTGAAACCAGTTAGCAAAAAGTTGCAGACAGTGATTCAGATTCAAGTCTTCTGTCTGTGATGCATTGGCCAGTTTATAAATATGTATAACATATGTTCGTACACATGCGCGTATGTATGCAAATGTACGACGTAGATCACACAAAGTAGAGGGAGAGGATATAGAGCAGCTGGAAACAACAAAAATACTTCCTTTGCTGGAAAAAAAAAAGGAAAAAGAAAGTAATAAGGAGACAAATCAACAATACTAAGCAACGGACAGAGTAAGCTCATCTCAGCATTATTTGGTCAGGCTTCTGTGGCCAAAAAAAAGCAAAGTAACCATAGGTACAGACATGCCCTGGCTGACTTTTCTGAGAAATGGTGGACATACGCACCAACACGCATCCAGTTTCCCCATACAGCAAACTAAATCACATGCAAAGGTAAAGGGTTGTTTCAATGTGGACTTAAAAGCAGAAAAAAGTGTTTCTACAACTCTACACTGTTTACCAGACTACATATTTTTGTTGCAGTTCAAACCTGGATATTCTTGGCTATTTAGGTTTGCCTTTATAATTTGCTAAGCATTATTATTTATGTACGTTTGAGATTAAGAACAGGTACTGTTAGTGGTGTTACTATGTTAGTTCTGTGAAGCAGTTCTAAGTCAGGTTGGAGCTGCTAAGGTGCATTTTAGTTTGATTAAACTCACAAATAAAATTTGGAACTAAGCATAGTGTACCAAAAGAAAGAAGGTAAAAGGGAAAGAAAAGACTGTATGTGCCTCCTACTACTTTAAATCTGACATGAGTTGTATTTAAAGCCAAAACGAGTTGGTGGGAATATAAGCCTGTTCAGTGTTGATTCTGAATTGTTGCCTGCATAGGGAAGATGAGTATAATATATA